TATATTATATTACATATTGCCAAATAGTATAAGGGATGCCATCGTGTCAAGTAATGTAATAATATGAAATAACGCTATATCAAGTAAAATATTTATTATTATTAGTCAAATGCCAGTTTTTACAACATACAGAAAAAATTGAAGTGCTTATTAAAGTATATATAGCACACGCTTATATAATTTAGAAAATGTAAAAAAGGAATTAAAAATGATAAATTATGTAATTAAGCCGGCTGATTATGAACTGACCTAATTTATAAAATGTACTGCAGCGCTAACACTTGGATGGAAATGATCATTGCTGATTAGCGTCGGGTCCAGTTGGCTTGAAATCATGCACGACAACATAACGAGAGATAACGAGAGATAATGATGTTTTTTGAATAATATTTTTCCAAATAAATTGCGAGAAAGTGGTACTAATAATCTGGACTGGTTATGCAAACTATTAGTGAAAATGTCGTAACGTTGCGGCGTGCAATTCCGGTGCATAGACTTTAATTTCGTAAGCATTGGATTTATCCCATCGCTCACACTTTAAATCGTGGGACGTTAATGATATATTAGCAAACGATCATTTCAGTATCACTTTATGTCTATATATATTTTTAATTGTTATAGTATAAAATATATTGCAGTTCCGAAAGAAGAATCAAATTTTTCGTGCAAAAATCAAGAAACTAGTCGCTATGAAAGATATTTATATTAATATTTATGTTTACTTGTTTTCAGTTTTTCTTATTAATTTTTAATATAATTTTAATTTATTTGTATATCATTGTATATGTATATCATGTTCATTTATTTATAAATCTTTTACATTTTTAACTTTAAATATATATATATATATAAAACACAAGAATAAAAATTAAGATTCCTTCAATTCAAAATATATATAATACAATAACTATAAAAATTCAAGGCAATAGGAATCTGCGCTAACAATTGATACAAATATATAAATATAAAAGATGTTAACATTATTATAATTTGTATAGTTTGAATTTGTATAGTTATTGTATTTTATATATATATAAAATTGAGTTTTAAAATCGAATAAAGTTCGCGCGGAACTAAGTAAAGAATAAAATGTTTCACTTATGTGTTTTGTACATTACATTTAAAATTAAAATTAAACCGTTGTTGTAAAAAGACACGTTCTATGGTCTCCTATAGATAAACATACGCTTATGTTGATTTAGGTTTATTGTAGGCGTAGTCAGAACGGATTTAGAGCGCGCGAATGGCATGCAGAAAGCTACAATTGTGTCACTCCCTTCGCGATTTCATAAGTGGTTACCGGATTTATATGTGTGTGTACATATGTGTGTGTCTAAAGAATAAAAATCTTGGCGTAACGTGATCAAAGCATGTAATTTTCTGCTCCCTTTTATTAATTTTCTTTGAAAGAGACCGGCAAATCTTTCTAAAAGTGGAACAAACGATTCTGTTGCAAGAAATTTTAATCGATCTTTAATATAGTTAAGAAATCTGCTGTGATCATGACATCGACTACTGTATCTTCTGATGCTTATGTTATTTCAAATTCTACTTTGAATTTTCCGAGGTTTATAGGTAATTAATCTCTTTATGTTATTTTTTTTTATTTCGTTATTTTAAATACAATGTTATTGTAGTTGTTCTTTATTTATTTAATAACTATAAGTAAGCAGATGTTACCGTAGAATTTGTTTCATTTTGTAAAGTTTATTACTTTTCTCTTTTCTTTAATTAGAGCAATAATAATTGATATTATTAATATTGATATTAATAATTATTGAATGAGAAATTACATATACATATAATCATTTGTGAATAAAGATGCAAACGCTGTAAGCTAAAATAATATTTAAAATATTATAAGTTGATATAATACAGGGTGTCTCGAAATTTGCGAATTAAAATACTACAGCAAAAAAAGTCCTAAAAAGTAGATTAGAAACATGTTTGCCATTTTTTATTTCAAACAGTAGTTTTTGAAACATAAAAATTTACAATTGGCTAATTATAGATTACAATTAAACGGCTGCCTGTCTGTGAATCGTATCTCGTAGATAATATTCATAATCGAACGTGCCGACTCACGGACAACCGTTTAACCGTTATCTGTAATTGGCTAGTTTTATATCTCAGAAACTGTTCCGAACTGACTTCCATTAAGTGACAAATACTCTTGTAAGAACTTTTTTTTTAGAACTTTTTTACTGTGGTATTTTGATTCGCGAATTTCAGGACATTTTGTATACGCAAGTTAGATTTATTAAATTATCTATAATAATCAGCTACGTTAAAAACTTTCTAATTTTTTAAACACTTTAAACTTATTAAAATTTATAAAATTAATCAAATCTATCAACAATTTTATAAA